GGAGCACCAGGAATGAGATCATCGGAGGTAGAACACAGGCACGCAGCAGAACCAGCCCAGAGAACGGGCCTTCGGACTGCAACTGACCACGCCGGAGGGTCGGGGTGCATGTGGCCGCTGGTGTTCAGAGCTCACAACTTGCCCAGGGTGCTGTCCATGGACCTACAGGACTTAAGTGTTCATCCTGCTGGGTTTTAGTTCTGCTTTGCTCCATTTCTTTTCTATACACCTAGCTGTCCCTTTTCAACTGGAAGTGTTCATCTTCTGTTGCATACTGTAAATACTTAACTTCCTTTTTATTTCTACAGGGACTCACAGCTAAGAGTTGGCCTCCTCAAATCTCATAAGACACTTTGGACTTCTCAGCAATGCTGGAATTGTTAAGACTCTGGTGACTCTTAGAGATGCACTAGTTTTGTACAGCCCAATAGACACGAATCTTCTGGGGCCCAGTGGTAAACCGTACGGTTCAGATCCAAAATGCCCCGAACGGCGGGCATTAATGTAAGACAACTGGGTTCTGGGGGTGCTGTACCCATCGGTGTCAGTGGATCTGTGCCATCCCTGGCTAAGTGTGCAGTGAGGAGGCCTCGCTGGATGCAGGTCGCCGGCCACATGGCCTGGCAGAGCACATTCCTTCCCTTGTACCTCAGTCTCCCTGCTTCTCGGCTGCCACGGATTTAGCCACTTTCCTCCATTATACCCTTCTCCCATGTGTTCCGTCCTGGAGCCAGCTAACTTTGGACTGAATCCAGTGGAAACTGCACCAAATGAACAACTGCTTGAAGGTGTAGGTGGCATTTGGTCCTAGTGACAGGGAAGTGACAAATATACTTGCCTCTGTGAATATATGCGTTGTAGTAACCAAATAGTTGATTAGCAGAAAGTTTTTTCTTTATAAAAGTTTTTGAGTTCATAAGAAAAGGAATGAGCACTACATTGACAGGTGTTCGCTAATCTCTAAGGAAACAATGGATGGAGGCAAAAGATCAGCACTGGTTAGTAAAATCACCAGAAGACAGACAGACAGTTATTATATACCTTGTAGCAGAAATACATAAAACTGGGGCTGGAGATATAGCTTAGCGGCCTAAGTGCCTCCTTGGCAAGCACAAGGTCCTTAGCTCGATCCCTGGTACCGCAAAAACAACAAAAAAACCCAACCAACCAAACAAAAAACCCCATAAAACTACCTATAAAGTCTTTTTATAAAAAAAAAGTAACAAACATCAAAGGGGAAGAAACTAATCTCATTAAATAACTTAGGGCCCTAGCTCTTATTACCAGTTTATAAGAAACTCAAGGAAAAAAAAAAGTTAAACAATACCATGGGGATAAATCAGCAAAATTCAGAACATGGAAAACTGTAAGTTAACTCGTGGTTTCTTCAACAAATAAAATGTCAAGAAAAATAGCCAGAATCTATAGATTACAGGACACTTAACAGAGATATTAAGTAGGCTGGACATGGTGGCACACAGAGGCTAAGGCAGGAAGACTGCCAAGAGTTTGAGGGCAGCCTAAATTATGTGGCATGTCTATCTCAAGTAAATAGATAAAAGAAACCAAATATAACATGCAAATTTTTTTTTTTTTGAGACAGGGTCTTGTTATGCAATTCAGGTTGGCCTCGAGCCAAGCTCACTGTGTACCCTGGGCTGGCTTCAAATTCATGGATAACCTCCTGACAGCCTCCTGAGTGCCAGGATTATAGCTGTAAACCTTGTTTTAACACAACCTTACCAAAAGAAATTTCCTAAGACAAAAATCAGTAACAGAAATTAAAAAATAAAATTTTTATTAAGAATAAAAATTACTGAAAATACCTGTTCCATGTTATGTCTAAGATGTTTGCTATTCAGACAGATAGTGAGGTTAAGCTCAACTGTCTATGTTATAGGGTAGTAATACCATTAAGCTTCTCTTCTGGAGGGTTAACAACTTAAGTTTGCAGACCAAAAATTAAAGAAAAAGAAGGGTTGCAAGGACAACCACCATTTTGTCCCTAGCCATTCAAGGTCATTGAGGACTCAGGACATAAGAGAACCTGTATTGTAACAACCTGTAACTCAGTGATGTCCCAAATTTTCTGATGGAGATTAAGGAGTCACACAGGAAAAGTGACTGATGATGTAAAGTGTGCCTAAGGAGAGTTCCCTGGAGAGAAAACATTCTCTCAGGCTTTCACAGACAGCAAATTGATCAAGCGATGGTCGTGACTCATCCACATGGCTGGCACTGACAGAGGATCTACAAACTGTGGTATAGGGTTTCAGGGTAAATCCTGGGGGGATTTGACTGACCTTGTCAGATACAGAAGTTACAGTTTTTGTTATATAGGTCTTGCTTTATCTTGGTCTTAACCATCTAGCAGAAAAGTATAAAAATGAGGTATAAAAAGTAAAGCCATATTAATATGCTGAGCTATAAAAGGCTCAAGTCAACAACTTCTGACAGTCCTAGGGATAATCCACAACTATACTGGATTATTTTGAATTCACACACCTCCAATATTTAAATGGTAATGGAATACCCATCTGTGACAAAACTAAACAGAAAAAGGGGATATAAATGAAGGACCATTTTGTATATGTATATACAAAACAGGATAGATATACAGCTACTTTCTCTTAATTCAATGAGAAAATTTGTACTAATAGTGTTTGGACAGGATATCATGTCTGCCTCTCGTACTATGAATACTATGAAGACAACAATATGCAATGTATTAATTATTGTAACTGTTCTACTAACCTGTTTTGAAACTGTCTCATTGCTATTTGTTTTTCAATAAAATTTTTAAAAAAAGAATAAAAATTATTGTTAATTCTTTTTGCTGTTGTTAATGGTAGTGTGCTTACTTGTGATAAAGAACAGCTCTCTCGCCAGGGAGACAGCTCAGTAGAATAAACACCTGCCTACAAGTGCAAGGTCCTGAATTCAATCTCTGGTACTGACAAAAAAAAGAAAAAAAGAACAGATGTCTATCTTTTTAGAGATACACATGTAAATATTTATGTCACTTATGAGTTATGGCTTGTGGGCCGGCCAAACAGCTCAGCGGATTAGAGCGCCTGCAAGCAGGCACAGGGGCCAAGGTTTTGATCTCCCAGCCTGCCTGCTGGTCCCGCCCCCGCGGTGTGCCAAGATGGCGACTGAGACTGGGCGTGGTGGCGCGCCCCTGTAATCCCAACTCTTGGGAGGCTGTAAACAGGAGGATCACTACAAGTCCAACAGAGTAGTGAGACCCTGAACACCCTGTAGACCGTTTCCTAAAATAAAAAGTTACAGCTTGCGTCTAGATGTCCCCCGCGAAGTCTCATGTAGTCATGGGGTGCTTTTTCAGAGGTGGCTAGACCTAGAGTCTGTAATGCTGGGATTAGGGTCGTTATCACTGAATGAGCCCACTGACTGCTCTGGCACTTGCCCTCGCCTAGACAGCACAGAAGAGGCACAAAGAGCGGCGACGGCTGCCTGACTTGCTGCCTTGCTCTGCCGTGCTTGCTTGGCCTGTCTCTTCTCCCCAATGCCCCTCTGCCACACCTCCCTGCCCTGCAGCCAGCCCGCCAGGGCTGAAGCCTCCATGAACTGGGAACCAAATAAATCTTTCCTCCTTTAACTTCGGCTGCAGATATTTTGTCTCAACAACGAGAAAGTAACTAAAACAGTGATTTGTTGACAGGGGAAGGTTGAGATGGAGCACAGTGGGGCAAAGTGTGGGGTGCTCACTCACGACAACACCAGCCATGAGTGAGCAACCAGTAAAGCTGGGTGATGGGCATAAGGATCAATATTATCGGGCTGGGGAGATACCCCAGCAGAATAAGCACTTTCCTGGCAAGTGCGCGGTCCTGAGTTTAATCCCCAGTATGGCAAAAAAAAAGAAAAAAAAAAAAAAAGAAAAAAAAATTTTACCATTCAATTTTACTTATCATTGTAATTTTTCATTATAAATGTGAAAACTTGCTTCAGAATGAATGAATAAATAGATAAATTGGACTCTGCAGCTGGGGCTTAATTATCCCTTTATACTTTAGTCACTAATTCATAGTACCTAACCCATCTATGCCTTAGTTTCTTTACCTGTAAAATAATTCATTTTATTTATTTATTTTTTTAAATGTTTCCTTTCTTTATTTATTTGTTTATTTTTATGGTCAGCTCAGCCCACCCTGGGGGCGGGCTGGCATGGCATGTGGTGCTGGGGATCAAACCGAGGTCCCTGCATGCTTGCCTAAGCAGGCGCTTTAGACCACTGAGCTATCTCGCCAGTCCTGTAAAATAATTTAAATGTGTATTTATTTGTGCCTAACACACAAAAAGTACTTTAAGGAATTAATTTTTTATTACTGACATTTATTGAGTACTCATTATTATGGACATTAGCATAAATATTCTAAGCAATTCTGGCCTAATTATCCCAACAATTTTATGATGGTGGTATCAGCCTCGTTTCTAGGTAAAGAAATTAAGATAAAGAAGTAAAATGAGGGGCCGGGGAGATAGCTCAGTAGAATAAGCGCTTGCCTGGCAAACTCAAGGACCTGAGTTCAATCCCTGGTTCCGCAA